TCTTCAAGATATTGAACCACATCTTTTTGCGACAATATTGTACGACGTGACATCTTTGAAACTTTTAGAATATGATTCAAATTTGAAATTTCAAAGTGAAAAGTATAATTTTTAAATATTTATAAATGCTTATCACTTATCAGTTATCAATAATGTGCATATTTTGAATGGTGGTTACGGCTGTTAACCACGAAAAAGTATTAATTTTTAAGTCAGTGATTGTTGCTATGTGATAGAAACTGATATGAATGAAAAATATACTTATCAATACATATATCAAAGACGTTACAAACAAAAATTGCTTTTTTAATTTATATAACGGGGACGATAAAGATAAGCATCTACAACACCGTGTATTGTATGCTATGACACACAATGTAAACAGTTGGGTAAATACAACTATTTATAAATCAAAAGGTTGGTATATTTACTAACCAATTGAGGTGGTAGTGTTCACTAACCACTATGCGTAAATAAGATAAAATTATTTCCTTGAGGTGGTTAGTAGTCATAACCACCATGCAAAAATTTAAAAATTTAGGTGGTCGATGCAACTTACCACCATGCTTCAAAGAGTTAAGTCGATATTTTTTTCTTCAAGATATAAAATAATAATAATGATTAAATAATTGTATTGACATAGTCATGTCCATATTTTTTTTCTTCATATAAAAATAATGATGATAAAATACCTACTAATAATAATTAAATAATTGTATTGACATAGTCATAAGTCGATATTTTTTTTTGTTTATATAAAAATAATGGTAATAAAATAATAATCATAATTAAATAATTGTATTGACATAGTCATAAGTCGATATTCTTTACATTTGGTGACTAGCACAAAAACGTGGTCCCATTGCTTGCAAATAGCCTACCATTGATATTTTATTATTTTTAAATTGTTCCCAAGTATCAATTAAAAATTTAATGTTGTTTTCTTGCTATTTTGGTAAATTATTTTTTTTATTACGTTTAACACTATTTATTTTAGATTCTGAGTGAAACGATGAATGTATTGATTTTACAATGATGTGTGTTTATTATTATTATTTTTTTGTGTCTGTCATCACGTTTTAGGACAGTAAAAGTGCTTGGATTTTCATCAACAGTAGCTTTTCTGATAGGAAAGTGAGTCTAGTTGGTACTTTGGGGGGTCAAAAGTAAAAATTTCCCAGTAGTTTTCACAAGCGCCGGGAAAAACAACATAAAAATTAAGGAAAAACGGGAATTTTTACGCAAAATCGGTTTTCTAAAAAATCGATTTTGGTTTTTGGTGTAACTCTGAAAGAAATGAATGTATATACATGAAATTTTCACTGGTTGTTTATATTTGCATTTTATATACACGATAACGTTTTCAAAATATTTTGATTTATTTTGAACTGTTTAGGGACATTTTCATTTTCCATCTTTTTTTAGTTTTTTTTCTAAAAATATCAATAAAATTTTATTTGTTGGTTGCAAAAGCTTGAAAATTTAATACAAAGCTCCTACTATATTGTTTCAAAGGCAGATGAAAAATATTAAAAATCCTTAATTACAATTTTTTTTTATAAGCTTTTAAAGTTCAAAAATTGACAAAATATGGAAAAATCACGAAAATTAGCAAATTATTTTGAGTTAAAAATTCGTAAAAATTTTTCTTTTTAAATCTAAGATTTGAAAATGTAATACAAGATTCCTTATAAGATTATCTACCTTTATCAAAAAAAAAAGTCTATAAGAAAGTCAAATTAAATTTTTATGAGCGTTTCACTCGATTTCTTATGTAGCGATTTCCTTATTTTGTTGTAATTCAAAAACGATTAACTGTAGATACATGAAAATTTCACTGAATGTTTAAATTAGCATTTCCTATACACCATAAAATTTTGAAAATATTTTGACTCTTTTTGAGCTATTTACGGACATTTACAGCTTTCAATTTTTTTTAGTTTTTTTTTCAATAAATATCAATAAAGTTTTATCTGTTGGGCCAAAAAGTGTAAAAATTTAATACAAGGCTCCTGATATATTGTTACATTATCAGTTGAAAAATATTAAAAATACATAGGTACAGTTTTTTTTTATAAGCATTTAAAGATCAAATTTTTACAAAATTTATCAAAATCTCGAAAATTATCAATCATTGTAATTAATAAATTATAAAATGTTCAGTTTTTATAGCTAAGGATTGCAAATTCAACACAAAGGTTCTTCTCGTAAATAGTTCATACTGTAACCAAAAAATCTAAAAAATATATGAACACAGTTATTTTTTACAGACATTTTAAATTAAAATTTGGACGAAATTACATATTAAAAAAACCTAGAATAACTATTTTAGTTATTTTGTTGTGATTGAATAATATTATTTGTAGGTACTTGAAACTTCTAAAGTGTACTATTATATATCTATGATAGTATCACGGTTTTCGTTGATGTATAACGCGTTATAAGTACCTAATGGATATTGTGATATGATTATTTTGGAATTTATTATAGGTACCTATTATAGGTCAATTTTTTGTCTCAATAGCATAGATATGTATATAATATGTCTTATACCTTGACTGACATACCGTATCCTCTCAGAATCGTTTTTCTTATACAATGATATTATATCGTTGAATTCAAATTTAATATCATCCACTGTATGGTGACCCACTTGTAACCTACTGTACAGCAGAGCGACACCCACTTTCCCACCTTTTTAAATATGTTTCAGTTTGAATAGCTAATAATATGTTTATTACTTGGAAAGTAGATGGATGCGAGGTATAAAACTGTGAATTATAGTGCATATGAAAGGATTCCGGACCATTAGTGGTTCTGGCTTCTTCTGATGGTTTATCTGCCCATAAAGTTGGTGGAAATTGTGCATCAGTTTCTACATAGTTTTTAAGTAAATAATCGGCAAATCCAAAATTAGACGTAGGAGCATTTTCAATTAAATGTAAAAAAGTATTTTCTACTAAATTGGCTGGTAGAAATCCTAAAGCAAAAAATTTTTTTAGCCAAACACCCTATTAAGAACTTGATTTATACTCATTTAATAGCTGATTATCCTTTTGAATATGTCTAAACCAATTTTGATTTAAATGAAACCTACATGCCATAATTCTGCAGTTCGGGAAAATTTCTTTAACAGCGTTATGTGCACTTTTTTCAAAATCGAAATGAAAAGTTGATTGAGCCAATGATAGTTGTATATTTATACCAGTCAATTTCAAACACAATTTTACAATTGTAAGCCACATATCAATATATGTTTGAGTTGATTTTGAAGTCAATAAACAAAACACTATAGGTATATAAAAACTATTTTGCAATATATGAATAGTATAAAGTTGTTCATAATATTTGGGGGAATGTGAAAACGTCCCATCGGCGAATATATGAGAACATTGACTTAATATTTCAAGATTAGTAGCACAAGTAAACATTACCGGACTTGACATTGTTTCCATATGACAAAATAACTCACCAGTATTACTTAATATATTTTCGCGTCTATCAAATATTTGAACTTTTGATTCTTCAAAACTTTTTGGAATTTTAGGTATACTCTTACGACGGAAATCGTACATACTTTTTCTCAATAACCTCAAACCAGAATGCACAAGTTCGATATCATTTTCTGCATTTTGAAGTTCAGCTCGAATTATTTTATTCGGCCTTGTTAATAAATCAAATTAGGGGTATTTAGGGGTATTCATCCCTTTTGATACGGGAATTGATAATTTGCCTACCAACGATATTATCAGCCATAACATTATGATTATAATGATCATTAAGCATACTAATAACTATTGTAACATCATTATTAACAAGCAGACTAGCAGAAAAATTTTTATTAGTACAACGGTATCGGATACTACCACATTTTTTCAGTACATAGAATTCCCTGGATTTATATCCATCGACTAAGATGCACGGCTTGCCTTTTTCTGTTTGAAATATTTTTTGAATTTTTAGATCCATTTTAATAATTGACACACTATTTGACACTATACACGTTACACTACATACGTTCACTCGATACAAATTGCGAATGAAACATAAATACTAACATCCAACACCGATATGATGATATCGCTTATTAAGAAAATGTTACCTATCTTTATTATCTTAATTTATTGCTTTACACCAAGTCGACGAGCAGATAAAATTATAAAAATAAAAATAAATACCAATGCTCACTCGTTCAATTTTGTATACGTATATAATATCAACAAACAAATAATATTGATTATATTGACTTATTAATATAATTTATAATACTATATATTTTCATTTTGAAAAAGTGCATTTTGTGAATTTATAGTTTGAGTGCACGTAATATGTATATGCAAGTTATAGAAAGTATGTATTGTATGTATACATTATTTTATGTTGTATATATTAATTATTGTATATAGTATATACACATGTCATTATTTGCCCAATGGTGTTGTGATTTTAACAGGTAAAAAGGGATCGGGGCGCAATCGTGTGCGCAAACCGGGTCAAAAAAGGAAAAATTGCGCAATCGTGTTATAGCCATTATAATAATCTAATGATGCACCACATACCCTTGATGTTATGTCGCCTTGAGGTGCCGGGATCCGTATAATAATCAATTTTAATACAATAATAAAATACAGGATTGATCCCGCACACGCCCAAGAACGCCGCTAACCTCAACACGACGAACAAATCACAATACAAGCTGCTACAGCGGACACACAACTCGACAAACCACGAAACTCAAATCGTCTGCAGGTAATCAATGACCACCCTTTAATAGGGGAAAAACAATTAAATGATTGGCAAATAAATGCGAAGGCTCCGTTAGCCAGTCAACACGATTACCTTTCAGTGTCACCAAAACAAAATACACAACCAAACTTTAAGAAACCTTTGTGACACTGAAAGCATGATTACACTATTCACAAGTACAATTTACATAACAAATTTTATAGAAGACACTTATCACTTTTACAGTTATCAAGGAAAATAACATATATATTTCATCAGCATTTGACCGGTAGGTATACTATTCGCTGCATATCACAGTCTGAAGGTGCAACCCAGACCTGGCGATACATTTTCTCAATGTCCGCAACCAAAGCATATCTATAGAGACGGAATCGTAGTACAATGGATAACAATTCAGGTTGAACTGACGGTCCACATACCAATATATCGTTAAGACTTAGGCCTGATCTTGTAACTGCCGAGCCGTCAAACACAACACGAGTTTTTGTGGTTAGGCTGTCACTCTTGGTCACAGTATGATGAGGAAGGTAATAAGTAGGAAGGTCAGTGTCCTCAGCCTCTTCCATATGACCCATTTTAATATACTCAGCCATGAATTTTATATTCTTGAGCTAGCATAGGATCTTGGTTCATCTTTCGCTCTAGGTTGAAGAAACGCCGTTGCGCCATAAATTTTGAATCGCCTAATAACTCAGGATCACGTAGGAATGGCAATTGGACCACAAATCGGCTAGAATGTTCCTGGGTTACTGTCCTGGTAAAATGTGATTTGACTATTGACTGGACATTCTTGACACTACAAGTGGGACGGTCTGTCAGCGCCAGAGACGAAATTGATTGACACTGTATTAATAGACCTGGCATGCACATATGAGAATTTGCAATTGGCATTGAACCAGTTAGCACCCATCCTAAACAGGTATTATGTAGAACAGTGCCCTCTTGTGTTTTCTTGCCTTCGCCAATTAATATCTCATAAAATAATTCTGCACCAAGCAGTACATCAATGTTGCCTGGTTCATGAAATCCAGGATCGGCTAAACAGTAAGTTATTGTGTCTGGAATATTTAATTGATTGATGTTTACACGGTGGATTGGTAACTTGGTTGTTATCGAATCGATTACATGAAAGTTGATGTATGCTTCATAGTCTCTAAGTCGTGAACACATGGTTGTACTTATCGTAGTGCCAGTTTTCGCAGTTACAGATCCAATACCAGCTAATGATATTGTACTTTGAACTCCACTAATATGCAGTCTTGATGCACACTCCTTGGTTATAAGACAGACCTGAGACCCGGAATCCAATATGGCACGACATGGAGTCTGTTGGCCAGTTGAATTTGTTAAGTTTAAAACTGCAGTAGCCAACATTATCTGCTTCAGAGCAGAAGGATTATTGTTAGCTTGCTCAACGTAGGTTACAACATGTTGATCTTGGGTTGACGACGACTGTCTATTGGCTAATGTAGGGGGCCTGAACATTGCATCGTTATGTAACTTGGTGTTGTGACGTCTACCACATTTGGTGCGACTGAAACTACGACATTGACGAACCTGATGCCCAGGATGCAAACAATTATGACATAACCTGTTTTAAAAACTACATCTTGGCGTTCAGCGATGAACATTTTATTGAAATCTTCACACATTGTTAATCAATGGTGTTCGGGACACACTATACATTTTCTTTGGATGGACTGATGTCAACTTGATGGGCAAATAAAACCTTTTTTTTGCATTGAGCGTTCGCCACCCAAGTTGGGTGGTCTGAATTTTATAGAAGACAGTTATCACGGAAAATAACGATCTTTCGCACGCACAGGGCGGTCAGCCCATAACAGCTGTTGCTATCGTCGACCGCGCCGCAATACACGCGATAAGATAGATACGAACACAGCCATATATATGGCCGTGGATACGAAACATTGATAATACACACATATAAAAAAAAAGAGCCATATTGGCATGAACAATAATATTACCTATTGGCTCCAATTCTTTTGGAATAGAAACATTACTTTTTAGGATAATAATAATAATTTGCAAACAATTTATTACTCATTGAAAAAATGGAAATTTTTCGTATGATTCGATAAGTAAATTATTTATTTATTATTATATTTCAATAATAATTATATTAAAGTATTAAAAACAATTTGTTGGTAAAATTGTATAACATAACATGCTTAATGCATATTAATATTTATTAACATTTTACATAAATACATTACTAACTTCTATCTTACAAAGATACATTTTGTAGGTTTTTATTTTTATTTTTTATGTTGTCGGATATATGTTTAGGTTCGAAAATATCCGATTTTAATAGTCTTTTTCCATACCGTGGTTCAACCAATTCTGGCAGAAGACATTCTTTATAAATAATTAATTTCATTTTACCGTCTACAATAGTTACATAAGGTATCTGTAAATTATCAAAATAATCATATTACTAAAATATTTATAAATTAATTAATGTTCTGTATACCTACCTTTTTATTGTCGACCGCTGTTTGTAATTCATTTGTATCTTTGGTCGAAAAAGAACATTTAATTTCTAAAACGGCTGTATCGCCAATTAAACCATCTGAGTATAAAGAATAAATATTTAAATATTCATATATTATATCGCATTATAATCACCCCAAAACAACTAGTTAGTCATAGGAGTGCGCAGTTTTAAATTTCTTGTCGAGCCTAGACAATTATTATAGTGCCCTAATATTTGGACAGCGCCCCTAATTTTTTTTTAACACACCAACATACATGTTGATGTATTAACCTATTAATGTCTATAGTACTTACTATAGTTATTGTGTTTGTATAAAGGTATAATGTTTTATTTTAGATTAATAAAATGTATATAGTGGTTAGGTTAGGTTGGTGTACGTACAAATATTTTTGATTTTTTCATATTTTCACGACAAACAAAATTTTCATGATCTTCACGAACATATTATTATAATATAAGCATTATAATAAAATATTAAAATATATAAGCCCCTAAAAAGTTTCAGGTCGAGCCTGGGCTTGACCGGCTCGCACTGTGCGCACGCCTATGTAGTTGGTTATCGTAAAACTTTAATTTCGTAATACAAAGTACTTACCAGGGCTAGCGGCTAAGTATGGTTTATCTGCGTCAATAAATAAACCACAATCCATGACTTTAAGATTAGTTTATGTTTCAAATTTTTCTTTTGCGACGGTTTCGGTAATTTTTCCATATTCCATAGCTCGGGTTGTAAAATTACCATATAATATGTCATATACTGTTCCTTTACAGGATGTAGTTGGACGCATCTTACAAACTTTTCAGAAGTTTGACGCAGTTAGTCTGTTTCTTCTTTCAACGAACCACTTTTGGTTGTTAGATTGGTTTCGCGATTCCAACTCGATTTGTTCTCTTGCCGTTATTTATTTATTTATTTATTTATTTATTTATTATGGACGGGCGGATGCCCAATAGAAATATACATAAGAAAAATGGTCGATGTAGTTTACAGTTATAAAATAATTTCTTATAGACTAGAGACGACTAATACAAATTAATAGGTAGTAAATACAAATAATAATAATAATAATGTCGTTGGCTAATTATAGTATAAACATATATTATAATAATAGGATACACATCTTAGTTAGGTACTAGGTTCGATAAATACATATTATATTAATAAATTATTTAAATATATTTTAAATAATTCAACATTTGTACACAAGAATAAATCTACATTATATGTATTAACTAATTCCATACATCGATTCATAGGTGCGTTTTTGCCATAGTTAGTAGATTGTAATGGAACATAGAACGTATTTATTTGTCGAGTACTTCGATTAGGAACCAGAAAGCTTAAGATTGAAATTAAACATGGACAATAAACTTGTCCATTAAGTAATTTAAAAATAAAACACAGGTCAAGTCTTTTCCTTCTTATCTCCAGCGATTCCATATTTAAAATTGTTAATATTGGTAAGTAGGAAGAATGAGGTTGACGCTGAATGTCGCACTTAAAGGATAGAAATCTCAAAAATCGATTTTGTATTGACTCTATTGCGCGTATCGGACCTATTCTACTAGGGGACCAAACCATAGAGGCATAGTCCAAAATTGATCTTACATACGAGTAATATAAAGCTTTTAATGCATATGGATTGTTAAAACTTTTACAGCTTCGATTTATAAATCCTAGCATAGATGAAGCTTTATTTTGAATATACAAGTAGTGCTCATTAAATGTTAGAGATTCATCAAAGATTATGCCTAGATCACTATTCTTATAAACGCGAGTGAGTTCAGATTCATATAAGAGGTAGTCATAAATATATTTTTCTCGTTTTCTAGAAAAAGTTAATACTTTGCACTTAGAAACGTTTAGAAGTAAGTTGTTTTTGCTGCACCAATTCGAGAGGACGTTTATTTCATTTTGAAGTAGTACAGCATCGTCCGGTGACTTAATAATACGAAATAATTTGAGGTCATCAGCAAACAGCAACATATGGGAGTTGGTAAGTTTAATGTCATTAATGAAAATGTTAAATAGTAATGGAGCAAGATGAGACCCTTGAGGGACACCTGAACTTATATCATACATACTTGAGTTAAAATTTTTAATTTTGACATATTGTTTCCTGCCCGTTAAAAAAGACACTAACCATGAATAGAATGGATTTCGTATACCTAAGTTGTATAGTTTAGCGGATAAGATATCATGGTCAATTTTATCAAATGCTTTTGAAAAATCCGTGTATATAACATCCACTTGATGTCCTGCCTTAAACGCATCTAATATATAATGTTGTAATACAAGAATATTGGTACTAGTTGACCTACCTGACATAAAACCGTGCTGTTCGTCAATAATTATATTTTTAAATATTGGAATAAGTTTTTTAGATATAATACTTTCAAACATTTTTGGAATAACTGAAGTTATAGAAATGGGACGATAATTTGTTATTTGAGTATTATCCCCTCCTTTCGAAATTAGAGATATACTACTTACTTTCCATCTGTCTGGGAAAACGCCAGATGAGAGAGATAGGTTAAATAAATGAAGTAGCGGAATGGATAGAACGAATTTGCATTCAGTAAAAAATGTGCTAGGTATTGCATCAGGACCAGGACAGGATTTAGTGCATATGAGGTTGATTTCATTGTATATGACGTTTATAGTTAATATACATTTATTAAAGTTGACCGAGAGCAAATTAATATTTTCAATACTAGGAATTGGGTTTTGAATAGTTGGTTTGTTAAATACACTAGAGAAAAATTTTGCGAAGACGTTGGAGATTTCAGTACCACCACAGTGATTATTATTATTGTAAGTCATAGATTCTGGAAGAAAGGCATGTGATCGTTTATTATTAATAAATTTCCAAAATAATTTAGGATTATTACTTATAGCATTTTGGGCATTGGAAATGTAGTTTTTATAATCATAATTATTTTGTGACTTACATTGAGCACGTATATTCGAGAATTGGTTGTAATGAAATTGGTTTGGAGATCGCTTGTATACTATATGTGCAATTTTTTTCTCTAATGTCAACCGTTTTAACTTTTTACTGAACCATATAGGATATCTTGGCGTAAACAAATATTTTTTTGGACATGATGAATTTATAATTCTAAAAATATGTTCGTAAAAAATATGAACTGCATCATTAATATTTAATTCATTGAATATTCCATTCCAATCTACGGAGGCAATACGCGACCTAATATCATTATAATCACAGTGAACAAAGTCATAAATTTGTTCTTTATAGCTTAAAGGTTGAGATAATAGGACAGCTGTTTTAATTAATAATGCCGGATGATACATTCGATCTAAGGGTACAAGAGGATTAATTACAGAGGACACGTTTACATTATTGATATTCGAAAAAACTAGATCCAGCATTGAACCAGAAAGATTATAAACTAGATTATGTTGATTTAAATTAATATATGATAGATTAGTTAAAATATTTGAGTCAAAATTATTAATATTAGACAAATTGGGAGTAATATTATTATTTATAGAAGTCCATTTAATATTCGGGAGGTTATAATCACCCAATATTAAAAATTTAGAATTAGGGTTTTTACACATGAGATTATCTATAAGATCGAAATGATCATTGTACATAGTAGAGTCAGAACGAGGCGGAAAATACACTGTTCCAATTATTAGTGAAAAATTATTAATACTTATTTCTATATACAGTTGTTCAATTGAATTATCACGTAGAGATAGTAGACGGCTGGGGAACTTGTTATTGACTGCTATACCTCCACCTCTTATGTCGACGCCGCGTATGTCACATCTGTCACAACGGAATATTTGGTAATTGGTGCAGAGTCCAAGCTCTGCGTTATTAACGTTGTTTGATAGCCAGGTTTCAGATAAGGTAATAATATCATAATTAGAGAGTGCGAGGTTACGGGTAAATATATCTAGTTTGGTATTAATTCCACGTACGATCTGGTAGTAAACTGAAAAATTATTTAAAATTTTGCGTTTGCTCTGTCGTTTTTTAAGATAGTCGGCAAACCGTTTATATATTTAATAAATAAATCGCTTTCACCAGAATCCCTCCGATTTTTCAATACAGCCATAGTAGATGCAAAATATTTACGTTGTTGCAGGGTTTGATCAGATGAAATTCGAATAGCATTTAGATTGCTTACATTTAGTAGTTGCCTTTTCACTCTTAAAACTTTGAAGACGTCAGATGAGTTAGGAAGAGTGACACGTAGTGGACGAGGTTTATTTGAGAGTTTACCTAATCGATGAATAGACACTGGAATAGTTTGTATACCGATGGTGTTAAGTATATCCTTGGCAGTTGAAGTATCTTGTGATTGACCTGGTACAGAAGGTTCGGGAACATTAAACAAGATTACATTGCGTGCTCGAGATTGACGATCCAAAAGTTCAGAATAAACTTTTTCCTGAGCCGTAGCAACCAATGGTTCGGTATTTTGAGTACGTTCTATATCCAATAATTTAGTTTCAAGTTGTTCAACTTTTATCCTTAATGATTTATTATCATCCAGGACTTCAGTTAACTGAGTAGATAGTAGATCGATTTTTTTTTCTTGCGCCTTAATAGCATCACGATACGAGTTTAAAGATACGACAATTTTATTTTGTTGGTTTTTCAAGTCCTTTACCATATCCACGAGTTGATTAATTTTAGTATTGGAATCCTTGTCGATAGTAACTGGAGAATTAGCCATAATTATAACGAATAATTATAATCAACTTATATTAAAACGTTTCCGTATACGTAATATTAAGTATAAAATACGATTTATTAATTAACAGTAGAAATTATTAAATGATATATGAATGTCACACGATAGTGAAACCGCGATAACGCACGAGAACACTACACTATGACCGCTGAATCGCAACACTTATTTTATTTTATTTTTATATCTTGTTTGCAAAAAATAATTACTTTGTTAAATGGTCACACCGAATATTATTTATCTACATTGTTACCTATTTGATGTACGCATTTATACATTTATTGTAAATTCAGGATTTCTATTATTATTTTAATTTTATTTAGTATTTAGCTATAGTATATATATTTTTTGTTTAAAATTAAGATTTAAGTTATTCTAATTTAATTATTATTTGTATAATAATATTACATGCCTGTACGTAATATTATACTATAGTTATACTATACGTCTATACATTGTATTTGTTTATGATTAATAACAATACTTGTAGGCTATCTTTTTTTTTTTTAATAGAAGAGATTAGTGTGACGTCACAATCTATAATGATAACGCGTCTGGTTCCAAACAAACCGTTATCACGGTTCATTCCATCACAAATGCATTGCCCGTTTATTTTTTTTTTTTGATTCATTTGGTTTTTTAATCCTTTTAAATTGTTTTTTTATTTTTTAAACTGATCTTAAAGTTTTGTGTGCATAAGAAACTCGAGATCTTTTAATTATGGTTAACTACTGGGCACCCCAGTGTTCACACAATTCTGTCAGAGAATCGACAGATTCGTTTTCGTTTTCCAACAGATGTGGCACTACGAAATTCTTGGGCGAATTTAGTTAGGTAAGCTTCATTGTTTATTATATTATTGTGTTATTTATACTATTATTAATATAGTTGTTTTATTAGGAGGGCAGATTCTATTCCATCAAATAATAGTCGATTGTGTAGTTGCCATTTTAAAGATGGTTTGAAAGAAAATAGTCCGTTTATATTTGATTGGAATGAAAACAAAATAATGCGTTTTGTTTCCCCCGAAAAACGTAAAAAGTAATTTTTATTTTAACTGCTTTAATTATAGAGTAAATTTACTTATTATCAAACTTAAACATAATAATATTATATAGGACATCTCATAGACTTTTATTGATATTTAAATTTTTAAATGAGTTATAGTTATGTTAAATATTTAAACTTTAAAATGTTCGTAACTCACTTCAAAATTAAAGTATCAATGAATGCCTATGAGATTGCCTAGATAATATTTTTACATTCAGACGAGTACATCCACTTGCGTGACGCAATCGCTACTAAAGGAGACGCGGTCAACATTGGTCTCTTGACCATTCTCTCAGCTACTCATGTTGGAAGCCCACGCATGATGCATTAAATCGCGAATTCCTACGGGAGCAAGACTCTGACCGAGATGAGCTGGCTGAATGAGTCGAACAAATGTGCCGAAAGAAAGAGCCAAACACCATCTTTCACTTTTGTTGAACATAATCACAAATCAGTGGAAAACTATACCAATAATTATACCACTAAATAAGTTTCACCATTAACTATTTAGTGGTATAATTATTGGTATAGTTTTCCACTGATTATGTTCAACAAAAGTGGAAGATGGTGTTTGGCTCTTTTCATCATAGTTAAAACAAACTGCAAAAAGTAAAATTTGGTGCTTCTAACTCAGTACCAAGGACTGTATGAACAGGATAAGCTTCATCTAAATATTTTCTACCTACCAACATAATATATTTTGAAAAAATAAGAAAATTAAATATAAAAATATTATATAGTTACAATTGTTATTTAACTTCAAGGCGAACATTTTTAATTCGTGAGGGGCATTTAACGGTAAAGTGCATTTTAGCCTTGAAGTTAAATAACAATTGTAACTATAAATGGATGTTATTTTTTAAGGACAACGAAGTGCACTGAGTCAGCTAGTAATAATAATATAGTAAAGTTAATAATCCAAATTACTTAATAATTTAGAACCAAAACAGTAAGATGCAATTTAGAAGAACAATGTGATAATACTGCTGCAAGTGATCCAATTATTAATGAAGAACCTGCTAATACTGAAAGTGCTGATTTCATTTGTGAAAAAAATACAATTCTGGAGAAAAATTTTGAATGTTACTTTTTGAAAAAGGAAAACAAAGACTTGAAAAAAGAAATTGAGGTCTTAAAAAGACCATGAATGAAATCATTCAATTTCAAAAAATGATGTTATGTTTCAATATTACACTGGATTGAGTGAAGATATGTTTGAAATAATCCACTCACTATGTTCTAATGTTACATTTAATTATTACTTAGGTTGGAACGTCACTTGCTTTTTATTAAAAGATCAAATACTTATGACTCTAATGAAATTAAAATTAAACTTAGGCCATAAAGACATTGCTTTTAGATTTAATACCAGTTCATCAACTGTATCTAATGTTACTTTAACTTTTATAATTTTATTACATGATATATTATTCAAGTCACTCGTGGACAATGTTCCATCTCAACTTAAAAATCAACTTTGTTTACCTAATTGCTTTCAAAGTTTCCAAAATTGCCGTATGATTATTGACTGTACTGAGGTATCTTGTGATATACCTAAACAATTAGATCAACAAAAATTGACTTACAGTAATTACAAACATAGAAATATTCTCAAAGGATTAACTGGTATAGCACCCAATGGGGTCATAACTTTTGTGAGTAAACTATATCCGGGATCCATTTCAGATAAAAAAATTGTAGCCGATTATGGAGTTTTAAATATATTTCAACCAGGTAATCTAATTCTTGCAGATAGAGGTTTTCTTATTTCTGATCTTCCTAGTGGAGTTAACTTAAATATTCCACCATTTTTAGTTTCACCTCAATTTACTCCGAGTGAAGTTGTAAAAACCAAAAATATTGCAAGAGCTCGGATTCATGTGGAACGTGCAATACAAAGGTTAAAAGAGTACCATATGTTGTCCCATATTCCTAAATGTTTGTATGTAAAAGCTTCAATTGTTTTTCAATTATGTGCAGCATTGGTTAATTTTAGAAATCCTTTGATAAAAGAAGTAGACAAATTATATATTTCTGAAGATTAATTTATTTTATAATGTAATAATTAAAGTAGGTATGTATAACGAAAAAAAATTTGACAACTTAGTTTAGTATGATTAAAATTACAATAGTATATCGATGGTGAAACGGCAAAAGGGTCTAAGCGACATAATTCATTATTTTCAGGAGAGCCGAAAAACTTTTTTTTGTGATTTTAATCATTTTTTTTTTTTCTAGATAAGCTATAACTTTTTTTACAGTAAGAATAGGGTATTATTTTGTAGAATATTTTTTTTTTGTTTGTATCTTCTTCATGTGTATTGATATTTTTAATAAGTTTTTGATTATTATTTACGTGAAATACGGCAATTTGAAAAAAATTGTTCAATATTTTGGCGCTTATGCCCTATTTTTTTTTTACACTATTTATCTACGGCGCTTATGCCCTAATTTTTTTCTACATTTGCCTGTTCATTTATCGCCATTGTATTATTGTAATTTATAGTGATTACTATTTTTATTTCAGACCAATAAAATAATATTAAAATATCTCGTCATTTTCACATGTTTTTTTTAAAATAAGATGTACACAAATATTTTCCGCAAAAAAAAATATGAATCTTTATTAAAATATTATTATGATGAAAATAACGAAAAAAAAATATAATCCTTTAGAACATAACATAAAATTTAACCTTTTTCTTCAAACTTAAATGAAAACAAATAATAAAAAATAACTTATTTCTAGACTTGACTTTGTACTTAAATCTATAAAACAATGGTTAAAATAAAAAATTACTTACATTTTTAATCATTAAAATAAATAATTACTATTCGTTTGTTAAAACTTAGGTAAAAAATGAATAAATGAAATAAATGATCTAGTCTGAGTCTTCTTCGTCAGTCTCTTGTAAAATATCACTTATATCGTGGTTTGATTGCATGCGTAAATATTCTTCGTGAAAGTTGTGGGGTATGATGCCATCGGTACATAATTTTAAAAGGTCGGTTAGTTTTTCTTTTGAAATTGGTAAACTCTCCCCGTATAACTGTGTTGGATTAATGCCGATGTTTTTTTTCTTAACTTTTAATGTTTTTGGTTCTTCGTCAGCGCAGTAAGTGAAAAATACTTTTACGTTGTGATCTCCATTTAAAGGTTTGTTAAAAATAAATGATTTCACTTTAGTTATTTGAATCAATTCCTTGTCTGTAGTTTTTAAATTTAGAGCAAAATATTGTTTAGCTAATGTTTTCCAATCTTTAAAATCTGAGTACTGTACATTCCGAACTTCAATTGGAGAAGGATTTATTCGTGAATTTCTAATTAAAGGTGACCATTCACTAGGTGCCCACACGGTCTTATTTCTTATAAAACGCTCTATTGTGGCATGCACGGAATCCACCGGCATGTAGGTATGACCAGGCAAAAGAAACGTTATTTTTACTTCTTCGATGTATTCAAATTTTATGTTATACAGCATCGCTATCATTGCTCGGTTTTTATTTTGCCCACAGCATGAGTCACAATATAAAGCAACTGACTTGTAAAGTTGCTTTTCATCCAAACCAAGTAAATATTTGTAAATGCATGTAACAATGTCATTGCAACCTCAGCCTCCGTTTGTTTCACCCCATAAGTAAGTTATCGCGTTCTGTGGGCCAGATTCATACACAGTTAAGTTAAACATGCTGTACTTACGACTATAGTATAAGTTCATATTTTGGCCCTGAGGTGTGTTCAATACTTTTTGCAAATCAAAACTTACACAAATAAAATTTCCTTTTGCTTTGGACAACTGTTGGTCAAATAAAAACATTTCCTTAACCGCATATTTTTCTTCTTCGTGAATGGTTTTCAACTTCTGTTCCTCTTCAGTTAGTTCCCTTTCACTCATAATGTTTTCATACTTCGAACAAAAACGACATTTGTCTTTTTTTGGGGAATGAAAACCAATATTATATTTTGAATAAAAAATTTTTCGGAACATAGTCTTGCTTACTATTTCATATTTGTTTGAAGTACAGTAAGATGTATACATTTTGTACAATCTACTAACGTTTTCAATTTCAGTTGGCAAGTACTTTCTGTTTGAAGAAGCGCGACAGTAATGCGACTTGACTGCTGGTAGTTTTTGTATGAATGCATGGATGGCTTTCAAAGTGTCTTCTGATTTTTTATTTTTTGGTTCATGTTTTCCTCTTTTGTCCAGTTTTGACATTATATTGGCTGGAGATGCTTGATTCACAGTATAGTTCAAAAATTTTTTGGTGATATTTAAAGTACTTAATATGAATTATAAACAAATAATTCTTCTCTCATTTTTAAATAATAATGAATACTCCTTTGAAATATTCTTTCTGCTTATACCTTCAACGCGTTTTCTTTTTATATCAATTGTTCTTACACAACCTAATAGATAATCTTTTGCCTTACTGGATCACATGATGTCCAAAATTCAGTGAAGATTTCTTGTCTATCTTCTTCACTAAATTTATTTTTGCATTTATTTTGGCATCTTTTATTAGCACATGGATTAACTTGGACTTTTTTACCTATTCCTTTGGCTTTTTCTATTTTATTTAATTCACGAATGTTAGTTTTCCGAGGTAATCTTAAGCCTCCAGTCCCAACTTCTAAAGCTTCTTCTAATTCAGAATTTATGTTAGATTCATTAATTTGGCGAAAAGGATCCATCCTATTATTATTTTCAAAAATTATACGATCTGATACAGTGTTGTTCATAGAAAAATCGGTTTCATTAGGTATAATTCGAGAACAACTAGGTTTATGCAAATCGTCGGAAATACTTGAACTTATAATTGATTTATCATTATTTGGAGGTAACCACTCTGTTGTGTCCCTACTTTCATCAGATGTAAATTCATTGTCTGGGAAAATTGGCCCTGATTTTTGTTCCATAATTTGTTCATTAGGTATAATTCGAGAACAACTAGGTTTATGTAAATCGTCGGAAATACTTGAACTTATAATTGATTTATAATTATTTGGAGGTAACCACTCTGTTGTGTCCCTACATTCATCAGAAGTAAATTCATTGGCTGCGAAAATTGGACCTGATTTTTGTTCCATAATTTGTGTAAAAACCGCATTACTGTCAGGTAAAGAAGGAGGAACTGGTGACAACGTTGCGTACACTAAATTGCAAGAACTGGATGATAATTCGCTTTGTACAATAATATTATGGTTTAATACAGGTGTTTGTAGTTTTGCCATATTAAGAATTTTTCGAGTTCGTGAATTCATTTTCAATAGGTACTGAATAAAAAAAAAATATATATCAGATTTAATGTCAAATAAGTAGGAAGAAGTATGTTATGAAATAATATCAATAGCAAATTTGTTATCATTTGTAATGAAAATAAATGCAGCCACTATAAACGCGTTTATAAACAAAAATGTAAAAAAATAATTCATTAATCCAATAATTACGAAAATAACTTGAAATATTGATATTATAAAAATAGATCCTAAGGTCCGTTTCACATGGACACTTATCATACGCGACGTAAAAAAAGTTACGTTAACGCGCGTTTTAATTTACATTGATTAAGTTCATACATGCCAAACCGGAGAGTGAAATGTATGATTAAAATACATCCATAACAAGAAATTATATGATTCAATGAAATAATTATATTTAAGACGTTTCATTTAATTAGATAAAATGATTATAATGAGTTGTTATAAAAATAAACAACTGTTCTATAAAGAATTAAAGAACAATGTAAAATTATTTACTGTCAAAAATAAATCGAATAATTATGCATTTTTGTAAAATAAACTTCCCACTAGTACACAATATTATGCATAAAAGTTGACTTACCTACAGTAAATCTTTGATTTGGCCAATTTCGATGAGAACTGTGTTCTTGATCTTAGTGTACCTCTTCAGTCTTCAAATATAAATTATGATAATATAAATTATAATTGTAAATCACGATTTAAGATAATACACTATCTTAAATCGTGTTGTACCATAGACGTATAATATAATTCTATTATAGTACGTCTATGTGTTGTACTACAATCTTATCAAATGTTTATAAATACTAGTCGTACAAAAAATTCGTGTACAATGACACCACGCATAAACGTCGCTTGTCCCCTAAAATATTTTGCTAATGTCGTTTATTCCCTATTGTTGTCGCATAGACCCTTTATTACAGAAGACAAATATATAAAGTGTCGTTTAGACCCCAAATTTAAAATTCAAATATTCGTTGTTATAATGGTCACAGCTGATTTTGCGCACGCACAATGGACGTAATATATATTTTTCTATCCAATAGTATAAGCCGTGTCGCTTAGACCCAAAGTGTCGCTTAGACCCTTTTGCCGTGTCACCATCGATATTAAGTAAGAAGTAAAATTTATATATTTTGTATTATTAGATTAAAATATAATATTTCAATAATATAATTGTTTAATGTTTAATTTGTATTTGTATTGTTTTTTAATAACCATTGAATGTATACTGAAAAATAAAAATCAATTAAACTGTCAATATTTGTAACCCAGTTAACATTTTTTTCGATTTCCACAGCTACAATACTTTTAGTGGTCCAAATGATTAAAATACAACCTTCAGATTTAGTTAAATATATTTGACCTTGTATTTGATAAAAATATTCATGTTTTATATTTAATTTATAATTATTTATATCTGTATCAAAGTTTATTATATAATCTGAGTTTTCTGAAAAACACTGTTTTAAATCTTGATTGTGATATTTCAATGGATATTGGATTTCAACACAATATTTTTTATTATTTATAGTAGCAAGTCCATCAGGATTTGCACCTATTACTCCTGCTTCATGAATCCAAAAACTAGTAGATAAAACATCAATTTTATATTTGTTTTTAAATTCATTTAATGCCACTTCTTCGTGATTTTTACCCAATTGAATAGATCGTACTGAATTTCGATTGTAATTGCCTAAAAGTGTTTTAAATAATGATGGTGGAAATTTGTTTTGATTAATGCACTTCAGAACTTTGTGAAAAATTACTTGCAGTAATTCTATACTGTCTATAAAGATACCATTTTATATTTTCCCATTGGCCAGTTGTGTATGTAGCTATTTTTCTATTTTATTCTGGTCTAATTTAAATAAATTAGAAATAAATTCTTTTTTATCAATTACACATTAAAATTCTTTTGAAAATAGTATAGACTCTAATGGTGGTAAATTTACAATATCATTTGAATGGTTAATAGGTTCAGGTTTCAGTAACCAAGAAAATCCTACTATATGGTTACTTAGTTTAAGCTTTTCAAAACATAGTTTTTTTAAATCGCAGTTAGTATTTTTAATTATGGAGAAATTATCTGGGTAGAGACCATCGATAGATTTTACAATATCATCATCAACTTTTCTTTTCTTTCTCCAAGAGCATTCAGAGTCAGTAACCGATATGTGTTTATGGGCATGTAATAATAAAGCCATCATATGGCTACATTTAGTTTGTCCAACTGCACATGAGCATTTAGCATATTCTACAGAATTATTCTTTATAGAAATCTGAAATATCAATAAAATATAATCTTGTAAATCTATAATATAATTTAAAATTTAGTAAAATAATAGAGGCATAACTAAATGTTTGATCAATCTTAAAAAGTTATATTGTTATTTTTACATTAGTAATTGCACAATGTAACGTCTCACACGATGGCTTACCCAGATTCGGCGTGGAGCGTACGTTGACGAAAAACTTTAGTGGGAAGGTCGCCAACCCACAGCCGAGATTCGGAAATCGGAGCGTGTGGGATTTGTAACAAAATAATGTAAATAGGAAAAAAACAATAAGAACATACAATTGATGGGTGAGTTAAAAAGGTATATTAATTTTAATGATCTTATGGAAAATGAATAATTAATTTATGGCCAAGAAAAGCCCACACTGGCATAAAAACTTGACCGCAACAAAAAAGGGTCACCTTAGAAAAAAAAAACAACAAATACATAATAATAATAATAAAATAATATTAGTACACTATAGTGTGTATGATACACAGAAAAGAAACTAAACGAAATGAAATACCGACCAAGGTATAGTATATGATAATAATAATAATAAGAATGGTATTACCAAATCGTGATATTGTGACTGGGCGTCGTCCACAGGACGTCCGCGGTAAAATAGTACCTACTCACACGTCATGTTGTCCGGCAGAGAGGCACAATGAAAGTAACGGGCGTCGGACGCGTTACATATCACACGCAGAAAAACATATAATATTCTACGATAATTGGGTAAAAACTGATTATTGGCCGGTATTTGATTATAACGTAGTGTCGGCCGGTTAACTCGACCACGGGTACTAGGCAGCGGTGATAGTGTGTGTGTCCGTCGATTATCGTAATATGCATATCGCCTTTGTTTTGGATGTGGGCAGAGATGCCCGCGGGACGGAGCGCGCTATCGTATAGTATTTATCATTATTATCGTTGTTCATTTTCGACCGTTACAGAAACCCCCCTGTAGAAGGGTCCTGGACCTGTCTGTGGCGCTTCTGCAGAAAGAAACAGGGAGAAATTATACGTGGCTGAATAGGGGTTTGACTTAACCGTGCCGTCAATAAGCTGATTGCTTAGCATCAGTAGGACGGATATACTTTCTAAGAAAAATAATGTTAAAAGTTCCCCGAACTTGATCTGTTACAGGATCAGCTACGACATACGCATTACAGCTTTTAATCTCTATGATTTTATACGGTCCTTCATACAACATAAAAAATTTCTTTATCTGATGGTCAACGGCGGAAGAGGAGCGATGTGCACGAACGAGGACTTTTTCCCCGATCAGAAATTTTGTAGTTTTACCGCGACGGTCATGTCGAATTCGGCGTTCCTCGGCCTTAGTTCGTTGAACCTCGGCAGCCATCGTTAGCTTGACCGTAAAATCATCACTACCTTTCGGCGGGCATTCGACAGCTTCATATATCGGACTATACCTTTTAGTTTTTAAGAAAATCTCGCTAGGAGTGAAACCCGTCGACTCGTGAACGGTATTATTCAACACCCACTCAATATATTGAACGTAACGGGGCCACTCGGTATGGGACTGATGACAATAAGTGCGAAAAAATCGACCTAACTCGCGCATAACCCGTTCAGCTGGATTACTCTGAGGATGATAGACGCTAGTAGTTGTTACACATACACCAATCGCAGTAAGACGAGCTCGCCACACATTACTCACAAACTGGACTCCGTGATCCGACACAACGGTTTGTGGAGCTCCATGGACTTCAATGTAGTCAGAGATCATTCGATTGGTTACTACAACTGCAGTGGACCGTTTGATCGTAAATAACCGGACAAATCTAGAGAAACAGTCGAGTACAACGAAAACGTACTTAACGTGATTCCACCCAGATGGCAATGGACCGTACAAATCAACACAGACTCGCTGGAGGGGTGCATTAGCTATCACATGTTGCATTTCACCTTCTGTCCTTACGGTGCTACATTTTGCACGTTGACAGGTGTCACAACTTTTCACCACATTACGTACATTGGCACTTAGACTACGAAAATAACACACTTCTCGAATGGCGGCAATACATTTTTTCGGACCTACATGTCCAAAATGCAGGTGGAATTTAAAGATAAGCTCATCGACTCGATGTATAGGCACACATACTAGCCACCTATCCGAGTTGAGATGTCGACGATAGAACAAAATGTCCCGATACATACAATATCGTTCAGTAATGGCACTTGACA